TTTCATAGCCTTTTTGCCATCATCGCCTTATGGAGTGATTTTATTTTTATACTTTGTCCACAGTCTCGTTTTTGCCTCGTAAGAGTGATTTTGATTTCATACTTTGTTCATAGTTTTGTCTACCTAGTTTTGCACTTTGTTTCCACTCCTTGCGAGTGCGCTTTTGGTTTAATTAAAACCTTTTTTTTTGCCAAGATTTCTGCCTTGAGTCCCATTCCTGATCCAGTGGATCCCTCCTCCAAATGCCACCTTCTACACCCGGGAGCCAGCTTACTGCACCGCCAAAATAAAAGCCTTTACTTTGAAATGCACACCCAGCCCACCGACTGTCTGCGGCCCCAAAAAAAAAGAGAAAAAAAAGTCCAAACGTCCAGTCAACAATGAAGCAGATGCGCTGGCCCGTTTATCCACTGAACTTAATCACGGGAGATATAAATAACCGGTGGGAGGATTTACGTCCAAACAGCAGCGGCGAGGTTGGAAGTTCATACGCTGCAGTTGTTACTAAGTACAGGAGGTGGATTTTTGGATTTTAAGCCTTCTCAGAAGCATTAACCCTGCACAGCAGTGGGGGCAAACAGAGATGCACACATAAAAACCCAAAAGACACACACTCACTCTGTGCAGCAAACGATGTGCCGCAGCATAAAAAAAACCCAATCGGCGGCTCATTTCTGTTGTTTAATCTTTTTATTTTTTATGGACTTTAGTGTTTTGACCTGAGCCGGTTTGTTACAGACTCGTTTACACGTCCAGAGCTGATAGCATCTCCTCTGGAGCTCAGCGTTTACATTAAAGGCTTCTGCCAAACGCGTGTGGAGCTCCAGATAGACAAATAGACACAATATTTATCTCCACCATAACAAAAGTTTCCAGACATGGAAAAGGTCCAGAAGCGTTTGAGTACATTTTCAGCCAAGACAAGAATTAAATGAATCAACTAGACAATAATGTATAATATATATTAAATATATAAAGTTTTTACTGCATGCCAGAGATGAGGTGGCTTCCAGGAGCCAGAAGTGGGAGATCCTAATAAGACAGAAAACTAAAAAAAACCTAAACATCTAATTTCAACCAATTTCAAAAAGCTACATGTTGACCTCACATATGAACAGCTATGAATGAAGAGAAAAAAGCAACCAAACCAAGTTAATCTCCCTCCACACATGGACTCTGTTCTGTGTCAACGGCAGTTATTGCCCCTATAATGAATATAAGACAATTATATGAATAAAACAATAAAGATACACACTTTTAAAGCCAGTCCAAAAAGCAGCTGAGAGACTTTACCAACAGGTTCTTCAGGCATAGTTCAAACGAGGAGTGAAAAGCCTTCAGATCTCACACACATGTTGAGTTCTGCACAGTGAAAACCACAAAATACAACCTGCAGGTGCATCAAACTTTGAGCACATTTGCACATATTACACATTTTTTTAAGCTCCCCAACATTAAACATTAAAGCTGTCACACATGTGGGAATGCAAACCTAGTTTAAAAAGGCAGAAACACAAGAAAACCAGCTCCCGATCAGAGGTTCCCACACCAAACAACACAGAAAGTCTTTAGATTCTACGTCACCTGTTGGTTTTACTTTGGACTCTGGGCTGACATTCCAAAGAAACTGAATCTTTCTATTTTAAAACCTTCTATTGGTTAATTTCAGAGGAAAAGAGTCTAAACCAGACCCAGAAAGACGGATCACCGGGCTCTAAACCAGCTGTGATCCAGAACCAGCTGCTCCAGTTCTGACCAGAACCAGGAAACAGGACCACAACAGTCCAGTTCTCAGGTCTCTACAGAACCAGGAATCAGGACCACATCAGTCCAGTTCTGAACCAGGAATCAGGCCCACATCAGTCCAGTTCTGAACCAGGAATCAGGACTACATCAGTCCAGTTCTCAGGTCTCTGAAGGACCAGGTACCAGTACCACATCAGTCCAGTTCTTAACCAGGAAACAGGACCACATCAGTCCAGTTCTTAACCAGGAATCAGGACCACATCAGTCCAATTCTCAGGTCTCTGCAGAACCAGGAATCAGGCCCACATCAGTCCAGTTCTTAACCAGGAATCAGGACTACATCAGTCCAGTTCTTAGGTCTCTGTAAAACAGCTCTGCTTGTGTTCTGGTCTCTTCATGGTCTAAAGTCCATCTCTGGACCAGATGGACTCTGAGAACCAGGTTCTGGTCTCCTGCTGGCGTCCAGAGTCAGAACCAAACCAGGAGAGTCTTAATTTCAGTCCTATGCTCCTAAAATCTGGACCAGTCTTCCTTATGAGGTGAAACAATGTTTAAATCTATACTGAATACATCTATAAAACTGAATGTATTTTATCTGCCTTCTTCAATATATCTAATTATCTACTTTCTTTATCTCTATTTTCTGCTTTGGAACTATTTCTGAAGCACTTTGAATTGTCTTGTGCACTAAATGTGCAGTAAAATAAACTTGCCGTGCTTTAATTTAGAGTGATTCTTTACGTAATGAGTCCAAACATCTCAGCCAGAGCGCGGTCACGTCATGTGGAACATGCACAGAGCTGCCAAACCGCGGAGAAGAAACTCCGGAAGAGTCCCCTAAAGAGCAGCAGATCCTTTAAGCACTGATAAAAGCTCTCAGATCGGATGAAAACGTCAGCCAAAATCCACCAAAATCGGACTGTGGGACTGACCCAGTGCACCTCTATCTATCTATCTATCTATCTATCTATCTATCTATCTATCTATCT